TCAGGTGATCGTGCGTGCGCTGGACGACCTGTTCCTCCACTCTGTGTGTGACTACCTGTACGAGCTCACCACCACCTTCACAGAGTTCTACGACAAATGCTACTGTATTGAGAAGGACAAGACCACAGGTGAGAAACTTTCGGTTTGTTTGTTTGGTTGTTTGGTTTGTTTGTCAGAGTAATGAAGAGCACTATAATGACACCACATCGGCCATGTTATTGTTTGTTCGAGTGAAGAATAGCGCACTGGCACTAAATCAGCCGTAATTTAGTTGTTTGTAAGAGAAAAGAATAACACAGTGGCACTAATTCAGCTTTCAGTTCAGGAGGAAAATAGCAAAGCAGATTGACAGGAGTGAGGAAGGAAAGGACAGAAGAAGTACTTACCACTGGTGCCCTCCAAGTCCAACCACCCATAGAGAAATAAACCCAAATTAAGCATTTGTACCTTATTTATTGAAATATCGTGATGAATGTGATGCGGCAAATATCCTGGTATACTAAATATGGGTATGACACACCCACCTAAATATGACACATGTGTTTACAGAAATAGAATACAGATTAAAATGCAAAACAGCAGCATCAATATACAGTACAACACCAGCATAGTAATATTACCCCCCCCCCCCCGCCCAAAAAAAATAAAATAAGTGAATAGATATAACACTAAAATGAGCTATAGAAAAGAATATATGTCAAAATTCAATGAAATTACTCAGTAGCTACTAGCACATTAATCTAAGATGCAGGGTCCCTGGGTTCAAAAGATGTAAGGTACAAGATACCTGTGAATCCAAAGCAGTTTACCCTCTATACTTCAGTCCATTTGAGCATTTATTTGTACTCTTTATGCATTCCTTCACATTGTACCACATAAAAAAGTGACATATTTTAGATAATGGGATTTCCGACGTTTTCAGACTTAAGGGGGCGCTCATATGACCCTAAGCGGTTCTGAGCGCTGTAAAACACTTACAAAAAAAAACAACCCAAAAAAGACCAAAACATCCCGTACAATTACAACCACACTACAAGTCTCATATGAAATTGCTCTTCAGAAAGGGTAACTGACTCGAAAGATATTACACAGGATGTTTGTTTTGTTACCAAAATTTAATCCAAGTCACCCGTCCCACAAAACTGGCTTGATTATTAACATATGTCAGAGTTGTAATTGGTACATTGGCAAGTTGCATCAGAGTAAGAGTTATACTCAAGAGTTTTCAACAAACTTGTATTGGGTACCTTTGAGGATTTAGAGATGCCTCTGAAGAATTTGTGTCCCTTGAAAAATTGTTCAGTTTCTCAGCTTCCACTTTCATGTCCATGTTTTACTCACCAGTTCTCTTTTTGGGTGGTTGGTGGAGGCGTCACTGGTAGTGGTAGTTCCTAATCCCTTGCTTTTCCTCTCTTGCTTTCTGTCTTCCTTGATTTTTCTGTACACTAAATGACCGATATCTTGTTGTTGTGCATCTGTTTACTTTACTCAAACTCATGGCTCTCCTGCCGAGGCAATTATGCATTGTACTTGCAATATTGTCATGTTTCATGCTATATATAGCTGTAGTTTTCCAAATTCACCTGCTGACATTACAGCCCATTCGCTTGCGTGACTGGATACATCAGTATTAATTGTCACACCTTCAGGGTATCTGCACAGTACGAATGTTAAATGATCATTTTGATGTGGTGTAAAGATTGTATGCTCATATTTGAAAAGATTAAGATTATTTATCTTATGTCTCTTTCTCCTTCACTCATCCTAAACTTGCAAACAAAATGTCAAACATCATAATAAACCTACTTCAAGTCTACTTTTACTGACCTTATGCAGGTTCAAATATATCTGACATTGTCAAAAAAACGTTCCCTGCCTGAAATAATCTCTTTTTCCTACCCCATCACATTGTATATATACCTTATTTAACAGCACTACATTGCATTCTCTCTCACTCTCCTCCCC